CAAAAGTACATTTTTGCAGTAGTTATTTGTTGTTTTATTAAATGACAAAGCTAAGGCTCGAGCAAGTAAGCTTAGTTTATTGCCCTGCTGTTGACTTAGACATCAATCCATTTGTTTAAAAGACACAGTTCTAGAAGAACTATTTGGAAAAGATGACTTGAGGCCTTACTGAGGGAGATAAGTATGTGAGTCAGTCAATATGCCAGAATAAACCTGCTATTTTTTTGTGTGTAGGAATTGCTTATTTGTTAGGCTGTTTTGTTTGTTTTCAGTCTAGTCAGATATACTTTCTGTGTTTCCCCATCACTTTATGAAATACCTATGGCCGATTCATCAGTTGGTTAAAGCAAGATATAAATGTGATGAGAATTGTAACTTTTAGTGGAATTGCCTTACGGTGTTATGCAGAGAGGACTGAGAGGATCGCTCACCAGCGTCTCTGTTGTTACTCACCTGGATGACCGTGAAGTCAGGCCATTTCCTGAGAGGCCTGAATTTAAGCTGTGTCTTCTTTCTGTAGGTAAAGGCTTGCTCTATTGACTGCTGTGTGTAAGTCATACTTTTGTTGATCTTAGACCTTCACTAAGAAGTTTGATGCAACAAGTAAGGTTGGCAAATGGGCCAGAGATTAAGTAAATGGCTTTTGGCATCCATCCATTTGCCATAGCAACCACTCAGCTCTGGTATTGTCTTGTGAAAGTAGCCACTTACAGGAGGTAAACAAGCGGATGCAGTTACATTCCAGTTACTTGATGTATAAAAACAGGCAACGGAACCATGACCAAGATCATAGCTGGCCATCCCTTGACTTCTGTCATCATTTTGAGCTCTCAATTTTATACCCATCAACAGCCACCAAGGGCCAGTGGAAAGGACAGAGGTGATGTGATTTGAGGGTGCCAGGAGCCTTTTTTCACCCCTATCCTTTAGGCAAAAAGCTATTCTGCCAGCTCTGATACTCTTGAAATGCCAAACACTAAAGTGCTTTCTGTGGGACAAGGGAGAAAGAAAGGAGCAAAAGTTAGCAAATAAATAAAGTAGGTGAAAAGAAAGGTGATACACAATAAGGAGTTGATTGGATATTGTAACTAATTACATTTATCAATTTTAATTAATGCTATGAAACACATAATATATGAATGATTAAATGAGAATGCAATATGATTTATGAACTTTCACTCAAATAATAGTTTTAAAATAAGAAAAAAAATTTAAAACAAATCGTAACTTCAGAAATGGCTTTTGTTGTAATTTCAAACCAAGTCCCCTGTCACTGAGCCAGTTCTGTCTCATGGTGACACCCCATCGGTCACCTGACTAGTAAGGAACGTAGTTATAACTGGTACTTCAGCCTTATGTTGGGGAATCAAGTCGAAGGAAGAGCATTTAGTCAGATGAAGCATTGAAGGCTAAGGCAGTTAAAGAGGAAAATACTCCTCATCTTTGGGGTTGCTATTGCCAACACTAAGTAGACAGGACAAACATTTCTAGAGTTTGAGGTCCTTAAAGTGTTCTGTTTTCTTCCTTGCCCTCCTCACCCATAAAAGCAAACCTTTGACCTCACGGGTGGCAGTTTGACTGGATTACTCTCTTAATTCCTAGGTCCCCTTTGTTGTTGTTAGTTACCCTGGAGTGCTTACATTCCAGTGCACAAGCCCATTTACACAGCTCCATAGGGGTTTTGAGGCAGTGAACTTTCAGAAGCAGTTTATCAGACCTACCTCCTGAAACTTAGAAATTCCAGACTGAAGCCACTGCCACTGTCAAGTTGATTCTGACTCAAGGGCACTCTCCTGCAGGTTTGCAAGGCTGTGAGCCTTTATAGGAGGAGAATGCCCCTCTTCTCCCTTTGGAGTAGCTGGTAAATTTAAATTGCTCACTTTGATTAGCAGCCTGATAAATTACCATAATAAGCTACTCCACCAGGACTCTTCGAGACGCCTGTCAGTGAGTTCAGCCGGCCTTTTGACTTAGTCCAGTGCTTACCTGTTTGCACCCTTCTTCTCTGATATTTGTATGTTCTAGCTCCCCAAGCATTTGAACGTACATAAACAGCATTGTTTAGGTTCTCCACAAGTAGGGGAAGTTGGCTAGCATTGTTTATAGATACCCTCATCTTTTGTTCCACACTCATTGTTATCAGACCCTGCATTAAATATGAGGGCAGTTCCCAAACAGTGATCTCTTCTCTGGGCTTAATGCATATCCTTAGGAAAGTCTCTTTTAAAAATGGGGTTTTATAAACACTTATCTGGGACTGCCATCTGAGCATTGCTTGCATATCCATTAATTATGCACTCTGTCAAGTAGCTTATAACTATAGTTTTTGTAAGGGGCAAAAGAGCAGCTTGGAACTATTTTGATTTACTGGTTTATTGATCTCAAGAATTCTTTTATTTGAAAATTTTCCTGTAGAAAGTCAATTTCATAGCCTTTCCCCATTCATTTTGAAAATGCCGGTTACAAATATTCTTGCCAATGAGTAATGGAGGAGCTAAAATTACTAATAAATTAATTTAAATGTATTTATAAACCCAATACAGAGCCCAGAATGAAGTTGCTTTCCTATTGATTATTATACCGGTCATTAACTGCTGCGAAAATGCCTTTGTAGCAATCAGAGAACATTGGTCAGTTCCTCTGGTAATTGCAGGATTCCATCATTAAGATTTTAATGTTCTGGAAAGTAATTACTCATTCATTTCTTGTATTCACAGTGTGTGGGTAAAAGCGGTAGGGCATTTTGTGGCAACACTAAGTAGTAAGCAGACGGTCATTTCCACTGTCAGTCGGTGCCACTTTAAGTCCTTTGTGGTTTGGACTTGCATTTAGGTTGGGTTTTCTTAGATGTTAATGAGCCAGTCTGCACACATTGGTGTTAGGGTCCTGGGGCATTGTATCAGGGAGGCCTTTGTGCAGTTCCTTCCTTTCCACAGGCTCATAACCTCAGGTGTCATGCCATATCATATCAGTATTTTTCCCTAGGAAGCATTTGGGGTTAACAGACCTTCACTTTTTGAGACAATGATGGTTCAGTGGTAGCATTTGCACCTTTCATGTGGGCGACCTGGGTTCTGTTCCCAACAGGTGCACCTCATGCACTGCCCCTGCCTATGGCAGTGGAGGCTCGTGTATTACTAGGATGCTGAACAGGCTTCAGTGGAACTTCAGACTAGGACAGACTAGGAAGAAAGACCTGGAGACATGCTTCCAGAAATCAGCTAGTCAGTGTCTTAGATCCCAGCAGTCTGATCTACAACCAATTGTGGAAATGGCACAGCAATGGGCAGTGTTCCCTGCTGTTGGTGGTGTAGTCACCACAACTCAAAGGTGTTATGACAGCATCTTAAAACAGCTACTACGTGTACATGACATCGTTTTCCTTCCAAGAAACGAGTGCACGTCAGCAGTGCTGAAGAAGAGCAATCATCTGTAAATTCTCGGTGAAACAGTACTGCCTTGTGTGCCCCAAATACAGAAAAAGAGAATTATGATTGACTGTCATTATAGACAACCAATATCTAGTATGTTCTTGCCATGTACCACTGAATGAGAACTGACTCCTAACTGACCCTTCAGCTGGTTTTTAGGTGTCATAATCATATGGGAGGTGATTACCCACCTTTCTCCCATGGAGCAGCTGGTAGGGTTGAACCTCTTGCTTTCAGGGTCGCAGTGTAACTCCTTTCCACTAAGCCACCAAAGCTTCCTAATTACTAGGATAAGGCAAAACAATAAAAGGGTCAGACTTGGATCCGCAGGTGTATCTTTTCCCTTCCACAAACTCTCCCTCAGTGTGTGTGTAGATGATCTTCATATATTAGGGAGCACCATCTGTGGCTCTTCCTCATTACTTAGTGATTTCTTTTGAGTCCAGGACTATTGGTCATCAAGACAGCTGAGGACTTTGACCAGCAAATAGTGGGTTGAGACTATAGTGATCACAATGCCTTGCATGTTGTCAGTGTATTCGGCCAGTCTTGATCTCTTAGCATTTAATGATTACCATTAGAATAATCGTAAGTCAATTCCATACAAGTCAAGGAGATAACTGTATCTCTATCTGACCCAAGAGCATCCAGGCTCTTCAGTGGTGCAAATGATGAATGTCATCTACTAACTTAAAGGTGGATGGTTTGAATCAAGTGGGGGAACAAAAGCCTACTGTTCTGCTTCCATAAATATTATAGCCAAGGAATCCTATTCTATTCTGTGACATGTGGGTTTGCCATTAACAGTTGACTCTATGACCAGGTGTTTGATTTTGGTAAAGCAACCATAACAGCAGAAGAGGAATTCTTGCTCCCATTATCTAAATAAGAAAATAGAGTCGCAGAGTATTAAGGTTGCAGAGCTGGTTATGAATTAGGGGGGAGCTACTGATCCCCATTCAGTGTTCTTTCTACAAAATCTTTCTGAAATATTAGTGAAGATACCAATTAAAGAAAAGATTACTTACAGTCTCAGAAGATGAGCAGAGAAGACCGTCATGATTAGGTTATCTTGGCTAGTCTCTCCCTTTGCTTAAAAAAAAAAAAGGTGATAATCAACTGTTAAATACTAAAAATATATAAGTATAATGGAGAACAAAAAAAAAATACTTGCCACTTATCTTGTCTATAGCTTATCTTTGGTGAGTATAGTTGTTTCATTAAGCAGAGACCAACAGATGCAAATTAAAATTATTATGCTCTCTACTGCAAAGTTGGGTTCCTTAAAAATGGGGCCCATGTCATATTTGACTTGATAGAAAATTATACAAGTGTTCAGGTCTTTCATTCATAGGGTCACTATGAATTGTCTACAACACAACAGTACTTAACAGCAACAAAAGCAAGCCCTCAAGGAAAAAAGTCAAGAAAGGCTGAATAATTTCTTCTTCCTATTGCATGAACAAAAATGACAAAATCTTACTTTTTTTCCCCCTGTGCCTTTTAGGCTAAAGGACTTAACAGATTGTTCAAGAGATACTCAGGTGTGTTCCTTTTGTATTTATTTAGTTGTCTGTTTTGATGCCAAGATTAATTTTGATGACAACGCAGAATTCCGTCAAAAGGACATATTTGCCATGGATGACAAGTCAGAGAATGAGCCCATTGAAAATGAAGCCGCCAGATATGATCTGAAATACATAGGACTGGACGGGAACATTGCTTGCTTTGGTAAGAAAGCTGTTGTACCATAAGAAAGCTTTGTAGATTTTTACAGATTTGAGATACCTACGATTTATGAAATGTTATTTCTCAGTAACAAATAAACATAGAAGTTCTTTGTAGACAAAAAGTTTTGGGAACTAATCTATATTTCCATCTCAAAATTCACTGTTGTCAGCAGTCATATGTTTAAAGCATAAGTTATCAACTTTGACATAATTGGTATCTTGGGCTGCATAATTCACTTTTTTAGGGAGCTCTGATGGCTTAGTAGTAAGTTACACTGTCAATTCATAGGACCTTGGTTCAAATCCACCAACTTCTCTATAGGAGAAGGATAGGCAGTCTTCTCCTTTGTGATTTATTTACTGCCTCTGGAAATCTGTTAGGGGTCGGCTTTGAGACAATTTCTACTTCATGGTACATAACATCAGTAATTCTCTTTTAGTGAACTCTGGTGGTACAGTTCATAGAGAGTAGGGGGTTGTACTTCTGACCAAAAGGCAGCCAGTTCAAATCCACCAGCAGCTCTGTAGGAGACAGATGGACAGTCTTCTCTTGTGCAATTTACAACCACTAGCAACCTTTTGGAGAGTCAGCTCAGACTCAACAGCAGTGACATGAGAATTCTCTTTTGTGAGAGTCCAGCCTGTGCATTGTGAGATGTTTGCAGCATCTCTGGCATCCACCCTCAAGTAACACTAGCTCCCCCAGTTATGATGACCGAAAGTGTTGCCAGCCTTGTCAGATACATTGTTGTTGTTATGTGCCATTGAGTCACCTGCGACTCATAGCGACCCTGTGTACAACGGCCCTAAACTCTGCACTGTCCTGTGCCAAACGCACTGTCTCTGATACTCCCATCCCTATTAGCCCAGTCACGGAATCAATCCACCTCATAGAGGGCCTTCCCCTCCTGCATTGTCCCTCCACCCTCCCAAGCATGATGTCCTTCTCCAAGGACCGGTCTCTCCTCACAACATGTCCAAAGTATGTTAGACGGAGCTTCAGAATCCTTGCCTCCAAGGAGCCACCCGGTTTAACCCTCTCCAGGACGAATCTGTTTGTTTTCCTAGCAGTCCATGGTACTCTCAGTACTCTTCTCCAGCACCACAGCTCAATGGCATCAGTTCTCCTTCTGTCCTCCTTGGTCATTGTCCAACTCTCTGATGCATAACAAGTGATTGCAAAGACCATGGCCTGTATCAGATGCACTTTAGTCTCCAGAGAGACACCATTGCTCTTCAGTACTTTGGAGAGGTCCCTAACAGCAGACTTTCCCATGGCAATGCACCTTTTCATTTCCTGGCTACTGGTGGCAAGAGTGTTGACTGTGGAGCCAAGCAAGCTAAAGCTGTGAACAATCTCAATCTTTTCACCATCCATCCTGATGCTGCCATTTGGTCCAGTGGTGAGAATCTTTGTCTTCTTGACATTGAGCCTCAATCCATATTGTAGGCTGCAGTCCTTGACCCTCTGCAACAGGTGCTTCACGTCCTCCTCAGTTTCAGCAAGCAGGGTAGTGTCAATCTGCATAACGCAGATTGTTGATAAATCGTCCACCAATCTTGACCCCACATTTCTCCTCTTAGAGCCCAGCCTCCCAGATAATCTGTTCTGCATATAACTTGAAAAGGTATGGAGATAGGATGCATACCTGGCATACGCCCTTCCCACTTTTGAATCATGCAATGTTCCCTTGCTCTGTTCTGACAGGTAAATTCACCCCATCTAGAAGCACTGCTCTACAGTGCCTCAGTCTCTGTGTCATTAAGATCGAAACCTTTAATAGTAAGTTTATGTAAATATACTTGTGTGTTCTCATCTCATTGCTGTACTAGTTAAATATGATAGGCACTGTTCTGAATAGGTTAGATATAAAAGAAAATTGCTTTCTCAGAGGATGTAAAAGAGGACATATATTTGAATCATTAGATGCTGTGATAACCAAATGATAGAATATTTAATCCATTATACTAGTTTATTAATAAAACAATTGATTTTGTCATTCTCATCTGAATTTGGGAAAATGGCTTGTACAGCTGAGATAAGAATGAGTCTATTGAGACCATACAATTTCTATTATTGTCCACAGCTTATGGTGCTGGCATTTATATACTTCTGCCTTAATTGTAAGAGACTTTTTCTTGTCGAACCAATTCGTTGCACTAGAAACTTAGGCCTTCATCTTAATGGAATTAAAATAAAAAAGATTTGTAGCTCATTACATTGACAGGATCATTATACTCAGAAGTGAGGCAGCCTCATCCAGCAGTGGGCTGTTCAATACAATAGAAGATGATGTCCATTACAAGTGATACCACAAGCCTGGCTTACACATTGGTGCAGTAAATGTGATGTACTAGATCATACCATCCTTCTGATCCTGATAAGCTAATGCTTTATCAATACTTGTAAACATGTGCCTAGAACAATCTAAATACTGATTCTTTGTCTTCTCTGAAGAGATGTTTAACCAATTGACATTATCAAAAGCTACAATAATGCTTTTCACATTGTTTCAAGGCCTTGTATAAACTCTTTCTATTCTATTTGCCCAGACTTAATTAAATTAGTCACAGTTTAAAGTCTTACTTCGGGAACTCAAGGGTCAAAGAATATTCTGTCTGTGGAGCTTTTTGTGTGTCAAAACTTCTACTTGTTTGCTTTCTAATCTCAGGGAAGTGATTTTATTTAAGTAAGCATTAAAAAGTAGTGCAATTAATTAATAAAACTTATCCTTGAAAACAATTTCTATGTTGAAATTCTTCACTTGATTTCCTAAGAAATATTCTTAATTGTATGACAATTCAAGGGCGAGGGGACAGAGGGGTAAGGATGAGGGGGGAAGGTAATCGTAGGGTCACACAATTTGATGAGTGGAGGGAAGGGTGGGTAAAGGCAATGGGAAAGATCTGGTGTGAAAAACAGTGTATACAAACTTGGTAAATAGAACAGTATAAAATTTATTTAAATAATAAAAAAAAGAAACGTTCCTAAGATGTTGCCATATATTACTTAGAGTTATAATAAGATGCTACTGACAGTATTTTACATTTATATGAAAGAGAAACAAGGGGTAGGTTTATTACTTTGATGCTGTCATTTGTTCATTTACTTTCTCTGTTTAACTAGGTAACATAATATACATGGCTACAAAAAGTGTAAAAACTATGAAATGTTACTGATGGTGAGGTTCCTGTGGTAGAGTGCCCACAGAATGCTACATCCAAAGCAGCATATTCTCAGCAAAAAAGAAATTAAACAAATTTTCTTTACTATTGTCGCCTAAAAAATATTAAGATTGTAATTCATACTCTTAACAGCTTCTCACAATTTGTCCTAATTTGTTTACAGTTTTCTTACTCAGACTCTGATAAAACTATAAAGAAAGCCCTCCTCTAACTTACTCAGCATTTTTCAAGCTGAAAGAATTAAAAAACAAATTCAAGCCTTCAGTTTCAATACTGAGAAATGTCATGGACAAAATCATGAATGATCTAGGAAGTATCAAAAGAAGATGGAATGAACACACAAAATCACTGAACCAAAAAGAACTGGCCTACACAGAAATATCTTAGGAAATTGCATATGATCAAAACCCAATGGTAAAGAAGGAGGAAGTTCAACTACAGTGAAAGCATTGGCAAAAAATAAAGCCCCAGGAATTGATGGGATACCACTTGACCGGTTTGAAATTATAGGTGTAGCTGTGGATGTGCTCACCAGTCTATGCTGGGAAATTTGAAGAACTGTTGCCTGGCTGACAGATCCATATTTGTTGCCATTCCCAAGAAAGGTGATCCAACAGAATGTGGTACTGGGCAATATCATTAATATCACCTGCAAGCAAAATACTGCTGGAAAACATTCAAAGATATCTAGAACTGTATATAGATAGGGAACTAACTGCCAGAAGTTCAAGTTGGATTCAGAAAAGGTCATGACACCAGGGTTATTATTACTGATGTCAGATGGATCCTGGATGAGAGCAGAGAATTTCTATTTGAGCTTTTATTAACTATGCAAAGGGATTTGACTCTGGATTATAGCAAGTTATGACTAACATTAAGAATGGGAATCCCAGAACACTTGAATGTGCATCTGTGAAACCTGTACCTAGGCTGAGAAGCTGTTAAGAAAACAAAGCAAGCAAGGGAACACTGGGCAGCTTAGAATTAAGAAAAGTATGAGTCAAGGTTGAATCCTATCTCCACACCTATTCACTACATATGCTGAGTAAATCATTCAAGATGCTGGACTATATAAAGAAGAATTTGGTGTCAGGATTTGAGGAAGACTCATCAGTGACCTTCAGTATGCAGATTGTGCAACCTTATTTGCTGAAAGTGAGGAGGACTTGAAAAATTTGCTGCAGAAAATAAAATATTGCATCCTTCTATATAAATTGCATTTCAACTTCAAGAAAGCAAAAATTCTCTCCTCTAGATCTAAAGGCAACATCATGATGGAGAAGAGAATAAAGTTGTGAATAATTTCATCTTAGATGAAATTGTGGAATCAGCAATAGTCAGTAGTCAGGAAATCAGGAGATATTTTGCAGTTAGCTTTAGTAAGAAGCTGTTTCCTAGTGATAAGAAACTGTGTTGCAGTCCCGAAAGAACATGGTTCAAATCCACCAATTGCTCTATTGAAGAAATATGGACAGTCACCTCCTATACAATTTACTGCCTTTGAAAATCTGCTGGAGGGTCAGCTATAGGTTGGTTCTAACTTGATGGTACAAAAAAACAACAGCTGTACTGAGAAAGTCTGTAGTCAGGGACCTCTCTAAATTTTTGAGAAGCAATTATGTCAGTTTGAAGTCTTTCCAGTCACTTGCTGGACAATGAATGACAGGGGGGAAAAAAATTATGCCTATCCAGTGGACTACCAAAAGAATGAACAAGTATGTCCTGGAGAAAATACAGTCAGAGTGCTTCTTGGAGACAAGGATGGTGAAGTTTCATCTTGCACTCTTTGGCTATGTTGCTAGGAGAGTATATCCCTTGGGAAAGGATATCGTCCTTGGAAAGATGAAGGGACTGTGAAAGAAAGGAAGACCCTCAGCCAGGTGGATTGACACAATGACTGCAGTAGTGGGTTCGAGTGTGTCAGAGATTATGGGCTTTAGCACAGGATAGGACGGGGTTCACATCTGTTGTTCATATGGTAACTATAAATTGTTATGAAGTTTACATTTCAATATGTTTTTTCCTAGCCATGTTTGACTTTGCTATGCAGACAGGTGGGAATATGTGAATGGGGTTTATTAGCCTTTTTACAAGGGGATTGGCTATCTCCTGTTCCACAAGGAGATTGGCCAGTCTCAACAGTCTACAAGGGGATTGGCCAGTCTCATCAATAAATTAAATAGCTTTAGCTATTTAATGCCAGATCTTCTGGCACCATTGAACAAGAAGCAAGAGAATGTAGGACACCCTTCTTGCTCCAGGTACACCTACAGAAGCAACACATATGGCAGCAATGCTTATGACTGAACTGGAGACCTGAAGTGAGATGGACCTTTGGGGGAAAGAGAGTCAGTACTGGCAGGACCGAGAACTTTGTTCGGCAACTGGAAGTGGGAAGCTAGTGCCTGCGTGCACATTTTGGGAGCTGTCTTGACTATATTTTGTTATTAATCAAGATTGTAACCTTTTGGCTTCTTAAATATTATTCTGTGATCTAGTACATCTAATTTCAAACCCAAGAAATCAGTAAGATTGATGTTGAAATAATTAAAAAGAGGTATGAGAGTATGGGTGACATGTCTGAACTCATAGGAATTTGTTTTGTGTTATTGATGCTGTTGATTATGGGGACAGCTCCCCTTTGTGAAATTGGTAAGGTTCAGAAAAGGCCATCCCCACATGACCCTTGCTCTTTTTACAGTTGAACGCAACTCAATGGCACCTAACAATACAATAATATTAACTTTCCCTTCTTCTTGTTTCTGTATTAACCTCTCAGTAAATTTTTTGCCCATCTCACCACTAGTGGACTCTATCATGTATGTGAATGAATTTATAGTGTGTACAGTTGTGCATGTGGAATTATTCACTAACAAGGCTGTGTGGTCTGGGTGTGATCCTTTTCATGTACTCTTTTTTTTTTTTTTTTCATTTATTCTCTGTATGCACGTTTCCAGATTCTTTATACTAAAAAAGACTCCAGATTTACTTGGGGGAAATGAAATCAGACTGGCAGTGACAGTTCTCATTGAGAAATATAGGAAAAGGAAAAGAATATGGTCTCTTTCATGTTACTTAATGCACCGTATTTTTTTCCATTTGCATTTCACAGTGAATGGTGCTGGGTTGGCCATGGCAACTTGTGACATCATTTTCCTGAATGGTGGGAAGCCAGCCAACTTCTTGGATCTTGGTGGTGGAGTAAAGGAAGCCCAAGTGTATCAAGCTTTTAAACTGCTCACAGCGGATCCTAAGGTAATATGCTGATTTCTCTCCATCAAGAGTTCCTTCCGTATGCCAAATGAGCTTTACAGACCTAGATGCTTGTTTTGCCTTTATATACAGATGATTTCTATACTGGCTGGTTTATTCCTCTTCGTTGAAAGGGAGATAAACTATCTCCATCAGACTCTGTTGTTAGACTTACCAGGCTTTGGCATGTAGTATATAGAGAGAGGCACAGTTCATCCAACTGTGAAATTGTTTGTCATTTTATTTCATGTGGATGAGTTACACTGAAGTCCTTTGCTTAGGTAGAACTCAGCTTCACATCCATTTAAAAAGATGATGGTATGACATTATCATCAATTTGAAGAGGAAAGAAAAGTCTAGAATTATAGGATCATAGATCATTGAAAATAGTGAATCTTACCTCTTTCTGTGTGCTTTTATAGCTTCGTCTTTGACTGTAATGGCATGTAACACATGTGTGAAATACCATGTAACTCTGGTGGTTACTAAGTGTCATCCAGTTCACTGGACTCCTAGTGGCCCTGTGCATGCGGAGTGCCTTCATGATCTCTGCTGTGCCTGTTGTTGAAGCCACCATGTCAGTCCTTTATGTTGAGGGTGGTTTTCTTTTTTCATGATCCTCAATTTTACCATGTGTGATGGCCATCTCTGTGGACTGGAAATACAACATCTCCAGAATAATTGAGATAAAATATCATAATCTTACACTATTTAACAGTTTCTACTTTTGGTGTCTGACCAGACTAAAGGTGGGTGACTTTTAATCCGTGGCCTTCGAGCCTTTCATTGTTTTGGTTCAGACATTCCTCTAGGTCGTATAGCCCTGGTGTACCACTTGCCGTACAGCGGTAACTTGTGGTTGCTGTGACACTGAACACTGCGACACTGATGTGTCAAATGCGTTAATGGCTGGTTACCCAATGTAGACGGAGAGCGGGGTGGAGCTCCTGGATGAAAACAAGCTTGGAAGGAGGAGTGGCATCCACTTCCATAATAGCTTGCTTCCAGAAACCTTATGAACCTAGAGAGAGGATGAGAGACACCCAGGCACTGAGGACTCTCCTTCATAGGGTCGCTGTAAGTTGCCTGCCACTTGACGGCACTTAACAACAACAACTTTTGGTTTCTTCATGTGCAACATATCTTCTTAACTGAAAGATCGCTTTCTCCAGTGTGAATATTTTATCATTCATACTCATGTCAGATGTACAGTAATTATAGACATAATCATTTAGTTTAGTCCCTAAGGCAAATATCAGTGTGGTTTAACTCTTAAGTGCTCAGTTGTCTGTGATAACAAAATTTATTCAATATTTATTATATGGAAAGAAGAGTTTTTGAATATTTGACATATATTTTATTTAATTTTCTTTATATTCTTGTGAGATAAACTTGTGCCAGACCATTTATAAATATACTTTGAGAATCATTATATTGATATATGACTAGTGTCACTCACTGAAAGAGTTTCTTGACTCTTGAAATATCTGAAGACCTAGGAATAGAAATCATTAGGAAAATCATGAATAAAAATATTCCTGATTGGAAATTTTTTATCCCCCTAAAATTGTTACCTGAATTTAATCAGGAAGCTATTCATTAAGTATACTGACACCAGCATGTTTTTGTTCACATGCGTAACACTTTGTACTTTTTAATAGCTCAGTTTGTTTTTCTTATGACTGAGATAGTTGGTAATATGTCACTGCTATCACTTTTCTTCTCATTGACAGAATAAATGGAAAAATAACATCAGTTGGTTATCTTCAGCTCTATCTTCAGTTCTCCCAGTGTCACCCAGGCAGAGAGAAAGCATCAGCACTTAATTGTTCTGCTTACACGTGGACCTGGTCTCATTAACATTTCGCTGGAAAATGATCAGTGGCTTCCTCATTGCTTATTAGTCTACATGCCCTTCTTTCTAAGTGAAGAGCTGATTTTTGCCTTGAGATTTCCAAAAGTTTAAATCTTTAAATATTCTGTGGACATAATACACAGCTTTTTCAGCTGTTCAAACCACTAAGTGCCCAGAGGATAGATAACTGTAAAAAAAACCCAAAACAACCAAACACAACACCTCAACTTTTAGCATTTACTGAAATTCAGTGCTATGAATAATAGAGAGATATCAAGGGATTCAATCTACCAGAACAATCATTGAGTTTTCTTTGAAATACCTTTTCTTAGTGTCTGATTCAGAATTTTAATTTTGTGAAGGTATGAGAGTGGAAAGAAAAATCACTCGCAAAATTGGTATTGTTTTTTCTTTTTTTCCTTAACTCTTCTCTTCAAAAAATTTAACTTTACCCAGTGGAATAGTTTCAGATGCTTTTAGAGTATTTAAACTTTTTGAGGTTGGCTGTCATCTTAAGCAGATAAAAATTTGTGGAAGTTATTTTCCTTTCTCATGTTGTACCAGGAAAATGAATGCTCCCCAGCTCATCTCGCAGGACACTTCTCAGTGCTGGTTATAAAGCGTACAAATGTGTGTTTTTTTTTTTCAGTTCAGGAGTTGTCTCACAGATTTCAGAGAACCATAGCTAAAAAAAATTGTATAGACAAGTTGATTTGATTTTTCAAGGAAACTGGCCATCATTCCAGCAGTAATTATTTCAAGTAGAGACCCATCCAGCTGCCCAGAAGTCGAGGTTCCCCAGAGCCCAAAGCTAATTATTTCAAAGGTATTGATTTTCTTGTTAGATGTAAGGATTAGTCAGGTGAATACACTGAAACTCAAAATAACAAAGAGCCTGTTGTTAAACTTAAATCAAATCAACCGATACTAACAACTCCTTGTTTGTCATATGTACAGAATAATTCTATTGATCAAGTGATACACAGCCCCTTCAAGCAAAATATTATGGGCTGGCATAGATTTCACTCAGAATGTCAGTCATAGAACTGAATTTTTATTTACATTTCTTTTGCTTGAGCATTTTCCCAGTTACTGATTTTTGTTTTTGTGAAATGCATATGTCTTTATAATATGTTCATTATTTACTTAGATGTAAAACAATGTTCCTTGGCCAAACTATCCTGGACTAAGCTGGAGTCATATAAAATGTATCATTAACTATTTTAGAATTCTCTTTCCAGTGAGGCTTGAATTGAGAAGAAAAAAGATAATACAGTTTCTCCTGCTGGTGGTAGCACAGATTTGATCTGTTTTTCATCATATTGACTAACAGAACTCTAAACTCCAGTATTCCAAGTCAGCCATGACTCATAGCAACCCTGTGAACAATGGTTCAGAGCCCCGTCCTGCCCTGTGTCATCGTCCTCACCATCGCTGACACGTCTGCTCTCATTGCTGCAGTCACTGAGTCAGTCCATCTCATTGAGGCTCCTCCTCTCATTTACTGACCCTGCACCTTTCCTAGCATGGTGTCTAGTTTCCAAGGTTGGCCGCTTCCTGACAAAATTCCCAGTGTGTGTGAGATGAAGTCTCACATGTAAGGAGTGAAAATCAAAGGGACAAAGCCACTGCCTTTGCGTCAGTTCTGACTCGTGGCAGCCATTCTTCAGGTTTCCTGGGCTGTGAAACATTAGGGAAGGAAGCTGCTTCTGTGAAATGACTGACAGGTTATTTGAACCATTGACTTCTTAGTTAGCAGTCTAATACATAATTCACTGTGTCACGACTCCTTATAGAGAGGAAAAGTGACATAAAGGAGGGACTCATTATAAGGCTTTGTGGTATTTTTTACCCATTTGAACACATTAAAAAGAAAACATTTCATGGGATGTTGTTTGGAGATGTTTTCTATTATGCTTCGACTTTTAGTTCTGATTCTAAACTTAGAATCACAAAGGTGTAAAAAGTAGTACAACAGCATCTAAATTATGTAAACTATCTTGTATGTGTGAATAACAGGCAGGCCTAGCTGGTGCTGTAAATCACAGCAGCCCAGTGCAGTGGCCCCAAGGGCGGCAAGCCTGGTCCCTCCTGTTGCTGTCTGGAGGTGTTTGTGAAAAGTGTGTGCTGGGCATCGGAAAGCCTCTTCACTTGTTTTAACTGTACGTTCTGGTATAAAAGCAAGTTGGAAGGATATTTTTCAAAGCGGTTTTAATGTCCAGTAGAAACTGCCACATAAACACCAATATTGAGAATTCTTATCAATTCTTGCTGGCCTCTGGAGCCAGATTGAATGGGGTTCAAATTCCATCTTTATCATTTATGGCTTTTGGGGCTTTGAGTGGATTATTCAACTTGTTGTTTTGTTTTCATCATAAATGAAATGGATATATTATAATGGATATTATATATATAAAATCAGTTATAGAGGCTGGGCTCTATGAGGAGGAATGTGGCATCAGGATTGGTGGAAGATCTATCAACAATCTGCCTTATTCAGATGACACAACACTGCTTGCTGAAACTGAAGAGGACCTGAAGCACTTGCTGCAGAGGGTCAAGGACTGCAGCCTCCAATATGGATTGAGGCTCAATGTCAAGAAGACAAAGATTATCACCACTGGGCCAATTGGCAGCATCAGGATGGATGATGAAGAGATTGAGATTGTTTGCAACTTTAGTCTGCTTGGCTCCACAGTCAACACTCTTGGCACCAGTAGCCAGGAAATTAAAAGATGTATTGCCATGGGAAAGTCTTCTGTTAGAGACACCTCTCCAAAGTACTGAAGAGCAATGGTGTCTCTCTGGAGACTAAGGTGCATCTGATACAGGCCATGGTCTTTGCAATCACTTGTTATGCATCAGAGAGTTGGACAATGACCAAAGAGGATAGAAGGAGAGTTGATGCTTTTGAGCTGTGATGCTGGAGAAGAGTATTGAGAATACCATGGACTGCTAGGAAAACAAACAGATTTGTCTTGGAAAGGGTTAAACCGGGTGGCTCCTTGGAGGCAAGGATTCTGAGGCTCCGTCTAACATACTTTGGACATGTTGTGAGGAGAGACCGGTCCTTAGAGAGGGACATCATGCTTGGGAGGGTGGAGGGACGGCGTAGGAGGGGAAGGCCCTCTATGAGGTGGATTGATTC